CTCAGGTTCAAGATAATGGTCCAAGTGTCCTGTAGTAACAGAGAGTGGCCATAGTTCACGACAGTTTGTTAGGACTAGAAGAGAGGAGTTCAAGGGTTCCTGACACAAAGAAATATAAATGTCTAATGCAATGGACATGCTAATTACCTTGATAATCTGATATACATGTATCAGATTATCACACAGTATTCTAAACATATCTACAACTATGTGCCAGTTTAAAAAGATCAACATGAAAACACCTGCACTGGCATCCTACCTGTGGCCCAGTTTCCATTTGCAGCTTTTCCCTCTGGCTCTTCCTGCCTCCCTGGTCTGAGGGCACAAGTGGGCGATGGGCCAGAGCCTTGGGCCTACCTCTGTTCTCTCTGCCCAGTTCTCCTCCCTGCTTCTAGTGGCATGGCTGAAAGTAACCTTCTATGTTCAAGTATGTGGTACGGAAGTAGTTCCTTCATGTTACTTTGCTTATATTTAGAATTCAACCACCTTTCTTGTGTAATGTCTGTGTAATCTTCTATAAGATTAAACAGTAAATAATTTATGTGGAAAATAATCCCTAATAGCCTGGACTGTTCTTTAACCCTTCCATATTTTGATCTTTGTCATCTGTTCTTTAGGATTGCAATATCTACCCCATTAGTTATTACAAAAATTCCATTAGATACATATGAGCTGCATGACACACATCTCAAATAATAACTTTGAGAGAGCACAAGGAGCGAGAAGAGAATGTGTGACAAGTACTGATGATGTTCTCACCAAAGGGAGGGTGATGATAATATTCCACTCCCCAGGAATCCCTGTCACTTTGCATGTCTCCACCTGCAAGCAGTCCCTGGTTAGTAGACTGATTGTCTCCTGCGGCACTACTGTTGGGCTCTTGTCTCTCCCTATCCACTAACAGACTCTAGGAGCTTGGCACATCTGACAAGGAGCCAACCTTTACTTCTGCTTGATGCTAATCTGGTTGGTTTGGCCACATGTAGATACAAAGGAGTGGCCTACCCCAGCAGTGGGCTGCTTGTTGCTGTTGTCCAGTTTGTGGAGGAGTTCATTCATTTCTGCACAGCATGGTAACTTGTTTGAAAAGTTTGTACCTTGTTCTACAAGTGGAAACCCCCCTAGGATCCAGCGCTTGAATTGGATGGCTGCATGGGGAACGTGGCCAATCCACTGTACTCTCAAGGTGGTGCATTCAGCGTGTCGGCCATGCCACTGAGCACAGTGCTCATTGATGATGATATTCAAAGCCACATTCTTCAGGAAGGATCTGCCCAGCCACCACCGGCTTATTCATTATTTATGTACAATTAAAGGGCACACACGGTTCAGACGAATGAAGCATCTGGGGAAAGTCATTCTTCATGTACAGATCAAATCGAGCATTTGTCATTTCTCCAGTGACTTAGCAAAATTCTCTGTGTCTTCAGATCTTAAATTATATTAAGCAGAGTAGATGTTTTAACTCTTACATAGCTTAATTGTTGGCCTTACTCCACTTACTGAGATTATTTGGACTCGTTTGAAATTAGCCTTCACTTCTCCTTAATATATTAAAATAGGAGGGTGGGAGAATGTCTTTTTAGAACATATTGCATTCTAAAAATGAATGCAAATTATTCAATGATTCTTAATGACCCACTATTAACGAAGTAGGAAGCCCTATGCATTAATGCAATATCTCTTTTCACATCATTACTCCTAATGGAACTGTTACCAGGATAATAGCATGACCTTTAGCTGTGGAATCAGATAGCAAAAATATATTCTGCTTACTCCATACCTTCTATTCACAGAGCTATTGACTGTTGTCACATCATTGCAATGACAGTCTTTTGGCCTCATTCTAAGAGAGAAGAGGGTTTTGTCTGCAGTAGATAAATTCTAGTTATAAGTCTCTTTTATGTTTGGGGATAGAGTGGACTAGAATGCAGATAGTTTGCCCAATGCAACTATTTACCTGTAAAGGCTTTTTCAGAAGTCTCAGAGGCCAACCCAGGAGGTGGATTTTTCCTCACTGCTTCCCACTAAACTCAGTGTTTTAATTGAAGGTAGAAAACATCAAGTGCAAAAGTGGTTATTTCTTTGTTTTGTTTGTTTATTTGTATATTTATTTATTTGATAGGGTTACCTGAGAAAGGTCTGATCTGAAACCCCTTGGGGTCGGCAGGGGCCAGGGAAGAAGCTCTCCACGGCCATCCCTTTGGGCCTCCCCAACTTGGTGGCTGATGCACATGGTGTCATTTTGATGTTGCCACAGTCCAAAGCTTAGTTTGTTAATCGAGAACCACGACTTTCTAATGTGTGATCATGTCAACTCATGCATTTTGCAGTCTAAGAAGAGAGGCGTTGCTATGGAAATTAATTGTATAAATAATATTACAAGTGGGAAGAGGCTTACCTGCTAAGACAGTGCACTCAATCATATTTTTAGCACACATTTTTTGGTACAAGTAAATAAAATGCTAAGTACAGATTTTTCTATTTATTAAAGCAGAATTTGCGGGGACTTTTTGGCAGATCTCTAATTGGCAAATGTTATTATAGGGGCATTTAAAGGCAATGAAACCTTGCTTCTTTAAATATATCAAGTTAAGACTTCCTACTGATTTAGGTAAGGCCATCCTCCCCCAGTTAGTCTAAATATGAGAGCTGCTATGTTGGCTTCCAGTAGAAACAAAACTGGAAAATTTGTGTATCCAGAGGATGTTTCTTCAGCTTTGGTTCAGTGCAAGGCACTAGTTGTTAGAGGTGCCTGAAGGGAAGTAGAAACAATGAAGACCATGAAGTTACTTAGAACTAGTATAAGGGATTTCAAAGCATTCCTACCCTTCAATGATCCTGTTTCCTCTGGGTCTCTTCCAGGCGGATGCAGCTTTCCCCCCTGTGTCCCACCTGTCATGCCTTGTAGAGCCTGGTTGCTATTTTTCCTGATGCTTAATCCTGCTTCCTAACCATCACTCCTCACCTCAGCAAGGGCTGCCCTGGAATCTTTCCCCTTACGATGGCTTGTGTCTCCCTGGTACCCCAGGTTCTGCTCCCATCTTGGATAACCTCATCATCATCATTGTGTGGAAGATTCCTCTGAACCCTAGCCACATACTGTCTGGACTTCATCCTGGTGACCTTGATCTCTACCACATTTGAGTCCTCCCACCTTAGCAGTCCCATGCACAGCTGCTGTCTTTCACTCTATGACTCAGGGGGACAGTTCTTGATGTCTCCTGCCCATCTCCATGAACCCTGCTTGCCAGCCCTACTGACAGTGACATTCCCTGACAGCTGTAGACAGCTCAACTCTGTGAGCCATCTTCTGGCTCCACTTCCCAGATCGGTGGGGGTCAAAGGTGACATAATTCACTCTAGGGGGCACCTTCGAGGGCTTTGTGTCCCTGTTCTCCCGCCAGATTCCAGCAAAATCCTGACCCTAGACCTCTGTCCCAGGAAAGAGCTGCAAGGGCCTGAGGGGAAGAACACCACTGTGCAGATTGCTGTCACTCCAGCTGCTGCTCACGTGCTTTCACCCACTGTCCACAGTCAGTTCCCCTGTGCTCCGAGCCGGTTCTGAACATCCCCTCACACTGTGTGAGTCCCTCACCAGGGATTCTACTGAAGACCCGGGAGAGAGCACTTCAGGCTAGAACCACTTTGAACTCTACCCTCTGGTTTCAAAGGAGGCCATTTCTCTTCTTCTAGTTCAAGGACAAAGTCCCTCCTTCTCTGTCTTTGCTAACAGTAACATTTCAGCATGCGGTGTACCCACAATTTTGTCAATGTGAAATAGTAGCTTTTTAAAAGATGCTTTTGCAGTTTAGTAGGTATAAAGTATATTTCTCAGTTCTTTGATTTATATAATAGGGAACGTTTTACCCAGTGTTTTCTGCTAAATACACTTTGTTCACTTATCCATGGAGACTTTTGAAGTTGCCTCTTTGATTTGAAAAAAGCTCTTACACATTGAACATTTTCAGTCCTATTTAGCACATCTAGCTTTTTTCATTCTAATGAAATGTTTATTTTTCATTCAGTAGAAAATGCCCCTTTCCTCGTAGTTGAGTCTGTCAATATTTTCCTTTGTCATTTCTTTTTTATAAGAACCCTTTGGAAACATTAAAATTCCCTGGTATCTTAAATACCAAGAAGGCAGTGCAATGTGACGAGATGTTGGCCCTTGCAGAGAGGAAATTGAGGAGGCAGGTGGAAAGGCGCTCAGGAGCGAAGTCTGCAGCAGGTTCGGCCCCAGGCCTTGTGTGCAATACCCGCTGTGCTCAGCTTCCCTGCCACATCATCCCACCTCCCCTTCGCCCTCTCATAGACGTGTCTGTAGTTCCTTTTGGGCTCATAGTGTAGCTCCCTTCTCAGATCCAGTACAGGATGCAAGGATTTGGAACTTATACTATGACACTGCATTACTATTTATTTTGAGTTCTAATGGAGTTAGTAGGAATCACGATGAGAACATCATTTTATGCAGTTTTGCGTTCAGTGTTGAGCTGATAATAAAAGACGAAATAGTGAAGTCCTTCAATATATTTGGTGAGCTTTGTCTTGAGGCCAGTAGACAGCAGGAAGCTTTATTTTTTCTGTGTGTAGGCCGCATGGATGTAGCTCAAGGAGAAGGAGCAGTTTTTGTATGAACAGCTTAGTTTTTCTAGCCAGTTTCATTGCAAAGCACAGTATAAGGGACCTTCAAAAAGTTCACAGAAATTGTCTTACGAAACACCTAGGTGTGTATTTCAATTTTTTTTCCCCACCAAAATTAGTTTTTCTTGTAAGTCCACTTTTCCACAAACACTTTGAAGTACCTTGCATACTATATGTTGTCAGGACCCAGCCAATCTCCATTTTTGCCAAAAGAATATTAACACGGAGATTGACAAAGACATGTACTGTGAAATTGACATCATTCAGAGAAAGACTTCTTTCCCCTGTGTTCCTTGTTCAGATTTGCGTATTTTAATTTATTACAATACTTAACTCTATTTCGTATTTTCTTCCAGTCTTCACAGAAAAGTACTGTACTGCTAACCATGTGGATAAACTTCCTGGCCCCAGGGACTGGGTACAGATTCTCCAGGATCAAATTAAACTGGCCAGAAGAAGGTTAAAAAGAGGCTCAGGTATGAACAAGCTGCAAGTCTGTCGCTGTGGAAGCACTCCGCGGCTCTTAGATATTGTACAGTCTAACGCCTCCCCTGAGGTGGTCATAGTGCCTTTTTTCTTAATGAAGAAGTTCCATGAGCATACTTGGTGTAAAAAAAAAAAGAAAGGAAAGATTGAAATATATTTGTAGCTCTTCATAGTACACATTTTCTACATATGACAGGAAATGTTTTCTGCACCTTTGTGTATACTATGCTATTTTTTTGCTGTCTTAAAGTCTTAGATAAAATTTGAAACTCGCCTTAAGGTTGGTTAAAAATCATGTCAGTCCATTTGCTCTGAATAGTATAAGCAAAAAAGGTTGCTAATCTCATTTGTGGTCTGATGTGTCATGGACAAAAATGAATCTCTCTTCTGTGGTTTACTTCCATCTGCCTATTGATTTTTATTTGTTTGTACCTGCATGCTTTTATAGAAGTACTGGTAGCTTACGGTTTAAAAAAAAGAACTATAATCATTCTACCAGGAACTCCACATCTAATATAAAGGAGTTTTATATCAAGTAAGAGAGTGTGTGTGTGTGCACACATGCTTGTAACACCTGGGTGATCCTTGGGTGATACTTCCAGGAAGTACAAATACCAGTTGAATTGTAACTATTTACAATGGGTCACTTGAAGTCTCAGTCTCCCCAAGTGACAGAGTATCAATTTACTAGTGAAGAATCCTTTTATGATCAGTTCTCTCCCATCATGTAAAAGTGATTATCTCTAGAACACTACAGACCTTTAGATCCATTTTCGTTGTTGCTGTTTAGTTTCACAGCCGTTACAGAAAACAGGATAGAGTCCTCAAAAAATTAAAGACAGAACTATCATGATATAGCAGTCCCTTTACTGAATATATATAGGTAACAGAAACTAAACCGAAGTACCAGAGACATCAATGTTCATGGCTTCCGTGTTCATGGTAACATTATTCACAATAGCCAAGGCATGAAAACAACCCGAGGCAGTGGTATTCAGACACAGTAGCATACTCTTCAGTCTTTACAAAGACAGAAATCTTGTCATGCACAACAACATGGATGAGTCTTAAGGACATTATGCTAAGTGAAATAAGCCAGGCACTGAAAGGCAGTTACTGCACGATCTCTTTTGTGTATGGGATCTAAAAAATAGAACTCATGGAACACAGAAGAGAATGTAGTTACCAGGGACTCTGGGGAAACAGACCCTGGTAAAACAAACAAACAAACTACACATTTCAGTTAGATAGAAGACAAGTTCAGGCTATCTGTTATAGGACAGGAGACTGTAGTATTTACAATATCTATCTACTTGGACATTTGGCATAGGGCTTACTCACCACCTTAGGACACCAGCAGTCCATATCAGAGTTCTGGGATTGATGTCCTGTCTCTTTCTCCTGGCCAGTTTCCATATATGCGTCTGGGATACAGCAGTGGATGGGTCTTTACCACCACATGAGACCCAGGTTGGTTTCCAGGCCCTTGATTTTGGAATTCGCCAAAGTTCAGGTTGCCCTTGCCCCAGGTGTTACAGGTAGTTGGGGAGTGAACCGGAAGAAGGGAGATCTGTATCTCTCTGTGTCTCTCTCCCTGTAATTCAACTTTCCGAATAAATGAATCTTTAAAAGAGGAAGGGAGGGAGGGAGGAAGGGAGGCCTGGTCCAGAATCCTAGGGTGGCAGGGTTCCAAGCACTTGGCCTATCCTCTGCTGGCTCCTCAGGCATATTAGCAAAGAGCCAGATAGGGAGAAGAGCAACTAGGCTTAAACTGGTACCCATAAGGGATGCTATGGTGCAAAGCTGGCCACTAACAAATTCTTTTCCTACCCCTGAAATAGGCTAATCTCTTGCAGGCTAATGGTTTGTCTCTGCCTGGGAAACTCAAAGGTTGTCTTTTCCCAGAGGCTTCACAAAGCTGACCTGTGCACTTTAACTTCTGCTACCCTGGAAGTGAACATCTCTATCCCTGTGTGGAGAGGGACTGCATTGGAATTGTGCCTGTGTCCCAAGTGACTAGAACATTCAAGAAATACTTGCTGAGACTGGGTATTTAGCCTGTTAACCTGGAATACCTGCATTTGGTATTGAAGTGCCTGGTCAGTCCCACCTCCTAGCCTTAGCCTGGCCCAACCCCAAGCATTGAGGACCTTTGGAACTCTCTTTGTATGTCTGTCTCTCAAATAAATTCCAAGAAACATTTGTTACATGAACCAGTGAATCAGTCCATAATAACAGAAAGGAAGAGACAGTAGTCCATGACAACAATGCTTTGTTGTTAGCCTGGTCAAAGTCATGTGACAGCCTGAAGAGTATTTCATCACTTTGCCCATGTGAGCTCATGGTGCCAAAGGCCTTGGGGCCAAGGTTCTGGGATTCCTACAGACACCTTGTGATCACCCCAGAAGCCCCTCCTGCCTCCTTCTCACCCGCCTTCTCACCCGCCTCCTTAGTTGTAGTACCACTCTCTGCCCAAGTTCTTCTCTTTGCCCTGTCCCAAAGCTTCAGAGCCTGCTGTGCTGGCCACACCTCACTCTGAGCAGATGAACTGACAGACATCTGGAAAGATTAGCTTCCTGTCAGCATAACTCACACACTGCCTAATTCAGTCATGAGTTACATCACAAAATCCCCCTTGTGTTACTTTAATCCCCTAATGCTTCAGGTTCCTGGGAAGGGCTGAGTTGGGAGTAAAAAGGAAGAAAATGTTTTACAGTTGAATGGCAGCTCTTTCCAGAAGCAGTTGCCCAGTAAGTTTACCCAACAGAGAACAGAGACTTACCTGGGCACTGATGTCACACTAAGAATTGTGTCTCCTGAGTTTTATGTCCCAGATGTCATGCCAGAGTACGTCTAGCAGAAAGAAACAAACATAGGGTTGATGGGAGATGGCTGAGAAAGGTGCTTGCGGCCAGCTGATGTTAAGCTGATCTGTGCTGGCTGAGTGTGTAAGCACCATCACGTACCTATTGATCAACCCAGTGCAGACCACACCACCATCCCACCCCCACTCCATGGATCCACTGTATAGTCATCAGATTAGAGGGAGATCTAACATTTGACAAAGGGCCACAGTACTGGAGAAGCAGCTGCCCAGTCCTTACTGAGCTACCAGGCAGGCTGACAGACTCCTGCACTTGCAGCTGGTCCCTTCCAGGGGAAGACTAGCAGAAGATGAGAAACCCTCAGGGCTCCTTGGGAGCTTGAAGGGAAGCAGCTGTATGGATTCTGAGTGTTGGTTTGCTGGTTTAAATGCTCCAGAGAAAAGAGGCCGCGGGCTCTGTGTATATGTGCCTCTCCCTGAGAAGGGTGGTTAGACGTCCCCAAAGGACTCGGCATGCTGAGGTTTCAGAGAACCCTCTGAAGAGGCTAGGAGTCCTAAGCCGTAGAGAGGCATTGCAGGAGGCTGTCCCAGATATAGCCACAGTCTGGCCAGCAGTGCACCACAGGACTAAATTAAAAAGCTTGGTTAAATTTTCTTCTTCTGGTACCTCCTCCATGCTTATGCCTTTTATGAATTAGTGCTTTTTCTCTTTCTCATGTCAGATGCTGAGACCATTTTGGAAGTTCTTTGTCTCACTATCTTTTCACCTTCCCACCAGCAAACCTGCTTGTACACAGTGGGATGCACTTCCCCGATGCCTTGTCTTGCTGCACCCAAGCAGACTGGCCAGTGAGCACATTTCTTAACCATCTTGGTATTTCTATTAATTAACACACACACACACACACACACACACACACACACACACTATAGATGCTTTCTCCCCTCCCATTTTCCTGTTTGTGCAGAATCACACCCAAGCTGTACCCTGTTCTTTGCCCTTCCCTTCAAAGGAGCCTTTCTTGGAGATTGTTCACTTCTGTACCACCAGCTTCAGGATATTTTACTCAGGACATTCTAGCTTTGGACCATCAGCTTCAAATGACATGGCACATATTTGTGGTTGGCGTCTTGGCACTTCTGTTCTGTGTGTGGTAGCTTCTATTTGCACCTGAGAAGAGGAAGGTCAAATCTTGCTCTTACTGAAGCAAGCCAACTGCCAGCACACCAGCAGAGAGAGACCTTCCAAGTAAAGAGTGCCTTCCAATTTTGTCCAATCACTTCCTTCTCTTTGGTGGCGCAAAGGCAGGACCCAGCAAACCGAAACTAGAGCCAGTGGCAAGCCCTGCGCAGTGATGGCGGAAATCAGAGCCCTGGGTCAATACTATTCCTTGCGCTCATGCTTTCTGTCTTGATTATTTCTGGTCTAAATGATAATGTGACCGGTGTTTCCTGGGTACTCCACAACTTCAGCCTTGTTTATCGTATATGACTCAATTCCTGGAATTAGGTCTGGACTCTGGCTGTGGCTGGGCAAACTAATTGGCTGCCTGGTTAAGGAAGTTCCTCACAGCCTCTGGAAGTGCCTTGCCTAGCTCCAAGAGGTCCTTAGAGGAATCCAAATAGAAACTCATTTTGGAGCTTTCATCACATGGAACAGTTTTTTTTCTTGTAGCTAGAATGATTCTTATTCTGGTGTGGATTTTTATTGTTTTCATTTGATTATTTCCTAGAGCCGAAATCACAATTTATTATTTGTGTTGGATCGGAGACTAAAGCTGTCACTGCTATTAAATTTTTATTGGATGGGCTCGATCTTTTCTGAATTTTACAACTTGATTATCACCATGGAAGAAAGATTGTGAGCTTGTCGTTGCAGACAAATGTTGTAATTAAATTTAAATAACACAATGATGTCCTTCATCTTGACACTTGACCTATATCATGCAGCTAGCATATGCTGAATTATATTTAATAATGTGAATGTACATATATGTCTTCAGTTGTGTATGTTTTATTCTTGTTAACGCTTGTTTTTAAAAAGTAAATACAGCTGAATTACAAAGGGAAGCTCAGCTTACACCTCAAACTGATTTTTGCTATAGCTAAATGAAAAACAATTACACGTGAAGAGAACATTACTAAAGTATAAAATGAACTAAAACATCAAGATTTTAAACATTAGCTCATTATGATCCCTGTGATGTTTGCACTTTCAATAGCAAAAAGATTAGGAGTACAGACTTTTAACCGACTCAGATCTATGGCACCATCACTCACTAGCTCTATGACTGTAGGTAAGTTCCTTAACCTCTTCACATCTCAGCTTCCCCATTTGGTAAAACATGCATAGCAAGAGACCTACTTCATGAGATTTTCCAGTATTTAAGTGATATAGTGCATGTCAAGTACTCAGAAAATGGCAAGCATTTAACAAATGGTGGTAGCTGTCATTGGTGTTGTCATAACAGTTATTATTATCATTACTATTAAGGAAGAACTTTGAAATCCTAGCCTGTAGCGGGAATAGGGAAGATGGAAAGGGAATTCCCTGAGTCTGCAGAACTGTATCATGAAAATTTGAAATTAAAAAAAAAAAATCCCAGCCTGTGAGGGAACCTCCATGTATGTAGATCATTGTGATATGTTTTTTTTTTTTAAGGATTTCGTTTATTTACTTGAAAGGCAGGGGTCACCAAGACAGAGAGAGGGAAAGAGTGAGAGAGAGGTCTTCTGTCTGATGACTTCCCAAATGGCCACAGTGGCCTGGGTTGGGTTAGGCTGAAGCCAGGAGCTTCATCGGGGTCTCTCACTTAGGTGCAGGACTCCAAGGACTCCTCTGCTGCTTTCCCAGGTGCATTAGCAGGTTACTGAATCAGAAGTAGGGCAGCCAGTACTCATATCAGCACTCATATGTGATGTCAGTGCCACAGGCAAGTGGCTTAACCCACTAAGCCATAGCACTGGTCCCAGCTCCAATAGTTTGAATATGATTTGGTTCCCAAGATCATATAGCACTTTAAATCTTATAAGATGCTGGGGAAAAAAAAATAAAATGCTGGTAACGCAAGGGTGGAAGCTTAATCCAGCTATAGTGTGTAGGAGGTAGGATCAGATGGCAAGTGCTTAGGTCACTGGAATGTGCCCTTGGGTGGTGGTTCTCATGGGAATGCTGACAGGACAGCCTGGATTTTGGCTCAGCCTCTCTGGCCTCCTGAATTACCGTATGATCTTCCCTCTTCCGTTCGTATTCCACTGTTTTGTTCACTACCCTCTCAGAGGCCAGGCCAATAAGGCTGTCCAAACCTGGACTAGAATCTCCAAAACTGTGAGCTTATAAATACACCTCCTGTGGGTATCTTGTGGCAATAAAAAGCTAATATGCTTATCTACCTATTCAAATTCACTCAGTCCAATTAGAAGAAAACAACGTCTTCTAAAGTTAACATTCTTTTTCAAATATGTCCTATAATGTAAAAACTCCAAAGAAAATTTTAAAATTCCTGAAGCTTTTCATCCAGAGTGAAACACCATTTAAAAACTCTAATCATGCCATTTATCATTATTTGATGTGTATATTTTTCTTCAAGTAACCATCTACAGCATCGTTTTTAGAAGTTTCTGCTCTTGTTCAAGCAAAATTGGTTTTGAATGCCCCATGTCTTCTCTGTGGTGAACCTCCCAGGTCCACAGCCAGTAGGGTTCTCACTGGGCCAGTGTGTAGCCACCTGAGGACAGGGTGTTAGGCGATGAGCCAGCTGCAGAATAGTTTGAACATGCGTGGCCACATTTCAGCCCTGCTTCAAACAGCAACAAGAGGCGCAGTATGAGTTTGCTTTCCAGCAGCTCGGCACCGGCACAGCCCACAAACAGCAGCCCTCATTTGACTGACCTCCCATTCCTGTATGCAAACAGCAAGAACCTTCCCAAAGGGGTCCTCCAGCCCAGAGATGTCAGGAGTGCCACGGGAGTTATCCCAGTGGGTGTGATGCTGTAGGTCCCCCGACCCCAGGATATTAGGGAAGACTCATAAGCACCCAGTTTATCAGGAGACTTCAACAAGCTCTTTTGTGTAGTGTTTAGTGTGAGGTTTTGAGTGATTTCCAGAGACGAAATATCAGAAGGGAATGCAAGCTTGTATTTTAAAGCAGAAATGAGGAATAGCGGAGGGGGGCAGTTCAGGCCTTGTGGCACAGACACCCACATCCCTCACTGGAGTGACAGTGGCGCTTCTGATCCAGCTTCCTGCTAGTGCATCCTGGGAGATAGCAGCTGAGAGCCCCTGGCACCTGTATGGAAGACCCAGGCAGAGATTTGGGCTCCTGGCTTCTGCTTGGCCCAGTTCTGACTGTTCCAACCATTTGAAGTGAAACGTTGAATGGAAGATTCTCTGAGAGAGAGAGAGAGACAGAGAGAGACAGAGAGAAGAAAGGAGGGAAGGAGGGAAGAAGAAAGGCAAGGAGGGAGGGAGAAAGAGAGAGAAAGAAATGAATGTTTTGAAGAAGCATGTATTCCTTCATGATTTTCCTCATGACTGCATTGTTGCCCAAGTTAGATTGGCAGCTGTATGGAGATGGATGGATCAACTGGCTAATCTTTTACCTGTAAGTTCTGGCATCCCATGTGGGCACAACTTTCGTATCCTGGCTGTTCCACTTCCCATCCACCTCCCTGCTTGTGGCCTGGGAAAGCAGTCGAGGATGCCCCAAAGCCTTGGGACCCTGCACCCACACAGGAGACGCAAAAGATGCTCCTGGATCCTGGCTTCAGATCGGCTCAGCTCTGGCCATTGCAGTCCTTTGGGGACTGAACCAGCAGATGGAAGATCGTTCTCTGTCTTTCTCTCTGTAAAATCTGCCTTTCCAATGAAAATAAATAAATCTTTCAAACAAAGTTTAAAAGGCTGGCAGCTGTAGGATCTGAACTTTGAATCATCTTCCGGAGCAGGTTCATTCTCAGGGTTTCTATAGCTGCCCTGGCAGGGTCGTGGGGATGCCAAGTGGGATTCATTGACCTGTGTACCTCCAGTAACTAGGTGTAGCAGTCCACCTCGGATGCTGGGTGCATATTCAAACATATGTAAACAAGGAAAATAAACTGAGAACATCAGCAATTGGTAGAATATGGAGTCTAAGATTAAAAATTATTTTAATGCAGGAAAATTGACTTTATGTTGCTGTCATTATCAAAAGCATATACATGATGATATCAAAACCTAGAATGTTAACCCGCTGAAGCTGAATAGAGAAAGATGGAAACTGTTGTGTATACTGGAATTTTTAAATTGTGTGACTATATTCAGTAAAACGACCGTGTTCCCTGAAACTAATGAGATTTGTGTTTTATGCTTGCAACCAGCAGAGGTAGCTGACGGCGATGAAAGACTGGATGGCATTTCTCTACCACCAACAGGTAAATCCCATTTTCATTTTCATCACCCTTAGGAAAATACAGCACACAAAAATATTTGCATTGAAAATGCTTTTAACATTAAACATGTAGATGCTTGAGCAAGCTGCTACCGTGGCCAACCCAGACCCCGGGAATCAGAACTTCCCGGGACCTGTGTTCTGAGCATCTTTTTTTTTTTTTTTTTTAAGGCTGACTATGGAAAGCATGAAATACTACATTTTCCTTACACTGTTTCATATTCATGAAAATGTCAGATAAGAATTTAGTACTATAAAATTGATTTCTCAGATCTTTGGAAATTTAAAAAAAAAAAAAAAAGATAGTTTAACCCAGAGTGAAATTTCCCTTTAATATGAGAATCCTCTGTTTTGTGTTATCAAATTCATGCTTCTTCTGTCTTCTCTCTCCTCCTCCTCCCAAACACTTTCCAGTTGCAATCAGCCATTTCTCTTCCCATGCTAGCTACCCAATGGTTCTAATTGAGTGATTAGCTAAAGCAGCCATCCCGCGTGAGCGACACATTCCCAGGACTGTAACCAGAGCAGCCAAGAACGACATTACAGTGGTGCCTGTGCTGCAGACATTGTAAAGCTGTAGATGTAATTCCAACTTCACAGGATCTGGCTCGTAGAACCCCTGACCCTGACTTTCTGCCCGTGTGTCCTTTCATTTCTGAGAGCTGGAGGGATGGCTGTCTGATCAATGAGCCATGCATTGAGCAATGCATTCCCTTACTTGGCCCCAGGATTCCTTATTGACTACCCTCAAAGGAATACCTGAAGATTGCCTACAAAATCTAGCACTTACCCCCACCCCTAAAAGAAACCTTTCAACTAAAAAACAACAAACAAATAACCCCAACAATTTGGTGGGGTTTTTTTCCTCTAGACTTAGGGTAATATTTGTTAAATTAAATTCAGCAATTATTAGTGGAGTAACTAGTCTGGATAGGGCAAGCACTCACCAGCAGCACATATCTCAAGATAGCAATGAAAGCAGAGCTAATGGGTGTTCAACAAAGGTAGAGTTCATATGCTAGTGCATGTCAGAACAACAGGCAAACTCTTGCCATGTAAATAATGCATTGCTTTCTCTGCCTCTGAGTAGCTAAGCAACAGATCAATGGACAAATAAATGAAACAAACCACTGCGTGCAGAAGAGACTTGCTGGTAGCTAGTTCTCGTATATAGCCATTATATAAAAGAGATTTCTCTTCTGGTTGGGCCGTGTCCACAGTTATGAATTCAGGGAATTGAAATATGAGATCTGCATTGTTCCTTCCCAGCCTGTCATCCTTTGAAAATCAGGACAACAGAGAGCAGCCTTATTCTCGGGCCTGGCCCATCCACAGTCCTGGGAAGGAGTAGCAGGGAGTAGCGGGCCCCTTGTGCCTGCCAGGGTGGCCCAGCTGTGCTCAGCGGCCTCCTGAGCACCTCACTGCCTGTCCTTCCTTAAGGCCGAAGCTTCTGCGCCCTTTGAAAGGAAACGTCTGTGTTTTCCTGTTTGAAGAGGAAAGCAGACTGGTTCAGGTGAGCAAGCTGAGGCCAGGGGAGGCTACAACTGCCTCCTTTCCAGAACTGAAAAGAATTTCAAGGACTGAGAATGAGAAGGAACTTGAGAGATCGTGTGGTTCAATCCCTTCTTTTTATCTAGTCTTTTTAAAATTTTTACGGGACAAAAGCCTGAGGCCCAGAAACCTGAATGACTTTCCCAAGGTCTCACAGCTGGTTGACGGCCTGGCCAGAACCAAGGCCCCTGGACTCCCAGCCGGCACACTGTAATTTTCTCCTACCTAAGCCAAAGCCAGTTTTTCTCTGCGTTTCTTCCTCTTCTCCTTCTTCTTCTTTTTAGATTAATTTATTTTTTATTGGAAACGCAGATATACAGATAGAAGGAGACACAAAGAGAAAGATATTCCATTTGCTGGTTCACTCCCCCAGTGGGTGCAATGGCCAGAGCTGAACCAATCCAAAGCCAGAAGCTTCTTTCAGGTCTCCCACGTGACTGCAGGGTCCCAAGGCTTTGGACCATCCTCTGCCGCTTTCTCAGGCCACAAGCAGGGAGCTGGATGGGAAGTGGAGCAACCAGGACATGAACTGGTGCCATGTTCCATCCCAGCAGAAACAAGGCGAGGATTTAGCCACTAGGCTATTGTGCTGGGCCCTCTGCATATTTCTTCAGGAGCTTAAGAGATAATGAATGTACAAACCCCTTTAGGATTCCATGTTGTGATATTCGCACTTAGACTATTCCCCATCAGTCCACTGAAGTTTACCGCAGGTAGACTGCTAGAGGCCAGCTCCAGCCAAGTTCAGAACTCGAGCAGGGTGTGTGGAGTCAGCAAAAAGAGATATGGACAGTGTCACTTGGTGCCTCTGTTAACAGCCCAAGAAGCTGTCCTTTGTATTTGCCCGGCCACATCACAAGCCTCTGCACAGACATTTAACTTCATGACCAAGCCGGCATGCACAGATGTTCAATTAATTAATTTTTTTACTTCATGGTCAACCAGGTGCTCTTAAAGATACTATAATCAGTTTCTTCAGAACAAGCCATTATCCGTTCTTCAATAGTAGCCGTTAGGTGATAGCCAGGACTCCACGGCCAAGGCGCATGCGGTTACCTACTCATTAGTAATACATTCCCACTACATTGTCTGCTTCTGCAACTTATCTAGCACTTAATGGGAGAAACACATCAAAAGGGAAAAGCCATAAAGGTCCAAGACAAAAGTTTCAGACGTTAAGTTCCCCTACAACTGTAGGCTTTACATCCCCATAAACAGTTAAACGATAATTAAAAGCATATCTATGATTTTAATAAAGGCACCCTATAATTCGTCTAGCCAAAAAATTATGAAAGTGGCTAAAACAGATACATTTTCTGTGCTCTAAAGAGTTGTAAGGACAGGCAGCCTTTAGGGTCACAGTAACTATATTTATTGCCATAGCAGTTGCAGCTCATACTCCCATCACTTCTATTAGTTTATAGGATTCTTATCAAGCCTTTTCCCAGAAGGCATGCTACATGACTGGGCCAGATTCTGAGACAATAGTTAGGCACACAATAAGGTGTCCAGAAATGGCATGGGCTTAATTGTGCTCTTATATATAAATTGTCAAAGGCCCACTCACTAAGACATTATCAGCAACATTAACTCCCAAGCTCACGTTGGTTGCAAAAACCATCTCACAGAGGTAAACAACAATGCCTCAGTAGATTACAGAATTGTTAGCGGGGTGGTTGAGTGTCCATGCAAAAGGGGGTGAGACTATATCGAGGTGGTTGGAGAGACATCTGCCAGGCCCTGCCAAATAGCTAGAAGCTTCTCCTGGCCTTGCCAACAGGGGAGCTGTTCTCTTCACACCTTTGTGTCATCCACACCCTCTGCATGGACCCCAGCAGTACACCTCATTTATTTGAGTTACTTTCTCAGATTTTGCCAAAAATTGTGAGTTCATAATGGAAAAGAAGTGGTAATCAAACATGCAGGCGTTTTCACTAGCCTATTGATAGATACTTGATACAGATTACTAAACAGTGTGAGTTTGAAAAATTCTCACTTAGGACATGAAGAGAGAAGTCACAGATTAGAGCTCCAGTTTTGCAGTAACAAAATTCAATGTTCTTGGTGGTGTGGCATCTGTCTGGATTGCCTCTCTGAAGTAACATGCCCACTCTGGTCAGCACCTTTGAAGACCCTGTCCTTCCACGGGCCTAAGAAGACTAGGCAGGTGGTCACCCTTGTCACACATGTAGGCCTTGCTTGGGCTACATCATCAGCTTGATCTGTAGCAACAGTCTCTTTTTGAAAGACTCAGTTGTGCCTTTATTGCCTGTAGAAGGCCTTATTTCTCCTTCCAAATTTTGCTTGGGGGAGGTGGGTGGACATGGCACCAAGCGCTTCTGTGAGCCAAAAGTGATCAGGACAGGGTCATAGCTTTTAGGCAGTCAAGTAACGCCTGTTCTCATTCCATTGGAGCAGACTTGTATGTGTCTACCTCAGATGTCCAAGGGCCTGCCTTTAGCCCCAGGGGAAAGGCAGTGTTGCAGAACAGGGGGAGAGAGGGGGCCTGGATAATGGAGAAAACCACCCAGGATCTGGAACAGTTTACCTCCAAAGGAATTATGGAGAAAGTAAAATTGAGAGGTTTTGTTTTTGTTTTCTAAAATTTAAACTGTCGGGCCCGGCGCGGTGGCGCAAGAGGTTAAGGTCCTCACCTTGCACGCCCGGGATCCCATATGGGCGCCGGTTCTAATCCCGGCAGCCCCGCTTCCCTTCCAGCTCCCTGCCTGTGGCCCGGGAAAGCAGTCGAGGACGGCCCAAAGCTTTGGGATCCTGCACCCATGTGGGAGACCAGAAGAGGCTCCTGGCTTCGGATCGGCATAGCATCGACCGTTGCGCTCACTTGGGGAGTGAATCATCGGATGGAAGATCTTCCTCTCTGTCTCTCTCCTCTCTGTATATCCGCCTTTCCAATGAGAAAATAATAAAAATAAATCTTTAAAAAATAAATAAATAAAAAAAAATAAAATAAAATAAAATTTAAACTGTCACTTTTGTACTTGAAGTAGGGTGATGTCCATTTTGGCTTAACAATTTTTTTATTATAAGATGGCAGTTTCACATACTTTTCTTTTTAAAAATTAATAAAGCATTAGAAAGAAACATTAAGCTGATTTTACCACCCAAAGACAACTATTATTGAAGACTTTTTTTTTTACCAGACTTTTCTCTATTTCTGTGGTTTCCTTGTGCAGTGAAGATCAAATACATACAATTTTTTCCCTAAGATTTTGTGTTTTTAATCCAACAAATATTTTTGTATCTTGTTAAGAATCTTCATGCACATCACTAGTTGTGTGGTACTCTGTCTTGCAGGTAAATCACGTGAAGGAACTTCAGAAAGTTCATGGAAAATGGAATTAGAAGGTAAGTTTATTTTAGTGCAAAAAAATCTTGACATCCATGCATAATTTTTTTATAGTATTCAGTTTTCCTGGCCTTTTTTATGACCTTCAAATGTATGA